TTATTTTAATAATTTAACACAGTCCTGCGAAACGACCTGTATGTAGCACCTCCCAAAAATGTTCGGTTTCAGCTGATTAGCTAGAAGTTTTTTTTTAATGGCATAAGTCGGTAAACGGGCAGACGGATCACCAGATGGTAAGCAATCGGTGTCGCCCATGGACACCTGGAACACCAGAGGCGTTACAAGTGCGTTACCGGCCTTTTGGGGATTAGGAGTTTGAGGATCTTTGGGGATACGGTAACCTCACTCACACGACGAAACACAACGCAAGCGTTGCTTCACGTCGGTTTTCTGTGAGGCTGTGGTATCACTCCGGTCGAGCCGGACCATTCGTGCCGAAGCATGGCTCTCCCACACATATCTCGCATAACATTAAGAAAATCCAACGGAAAACTAAAAAGAAATCAAATAATTTCTATAGGTCCTGTAAAACAGCAAGTTTAGTGTACCAATATTAATAAATTCCTATGTCATGGTGGCTCAAAGGTATAAGTCGCCCGCATCTCAGGCATATTACTTACTAAAATTATTTAAACAACAGTGACAAACGCTTAAGGAAAACATCGTGAGGAAATCTGTGCTTTATAATCTCTAATTATAAGTTTGAAATCGTCAACCCCTCATTGAAAAATGTGATGATTACTGCTCAAAGTTTCTCTGTGCGAGAAGAGGCATTTGGTCGGCATATTTGTACTAATACAATATGATGTATTCCATTTATCAATTGGTACTACGTGATGACGTGTAAGTCGCTGTAAACGAGCTGTAATTTTTTACGTTTCAGTTTTAATTAAAGGAAAATATGTTAATTTAATGTTTATTGCCTAATTAGACAAGATAAGCCTACCATGTCACATGTAATGTATTAAATGTGATATATAATACAGTATAACTATGTGTATTCTTTTCTTATGTTGGGATTTTCATTGATCAAGAGAGCATAACCTTCAGTGGAACAAAAGACATCAACGCGTGCAGATATTAAAACATCAGTAATTAACAAATCTAAATTAGCAATATCATCGTAAAATGTAATTATAATACAAATATTATATTGTTAGAAGCATAGACGAAAAGAAACCAAACGTCATCGAGTAGCGGGAAAATGTAATCTGTGGTTCGAACAATGAAAAAGTCAAGATGGCGGGAACTCGGAAGTTATTGAGACAGCGTATTTGGTGTTGAGGGAATTTTATTCTATTTGGAAGTCAATTTACCTATTTATGTGTTGTTGTCTTTGTTTTTCTTTCCAATTAATAGTAATGGTTTAGCTAGTCCTGATTTTGTAATTTGATTTCGATGTTAACATTTAATGGTGGTACTCATTATTTTTCCTGCCTCCTGAGTTTCTAAAATCCAATATGGTTTAAAACCAATATGTTTCTAATATCAAAGAGTAAGGTGAACTCTATGACAGTTTTTCTAATAATATAAATAATATTTAGATAATTTCACTAAAATTTCTTTACAGATATAGCGATAAGAATAAAACTTTAGGCAAATAAAATGCTACTTGCAAACAGTTTGAAAGTAAAAGATATAATTGAGAAGAAATAAAAATTCACTTGAAGGAAAAAGGTGCAATTAAAATAAGTTAAGGATAAAGCAAGTGTTCACGAAAGCATACATCGTAAATAAAAAGACAATTTGTAAATTGCGAAATGTAATTGCAGACGTCGTCGGCGCCCCGGCGGCGAGAGGCGGGCGGCGGTCCGCCGTGCTAATGAAAATTTAAAGTAACCGGTGAGAGCCGACCAAGGGGTCTCGATGTATAGGAAAAGCGGGATTTGAAAACCTGTATTATAGCTGTAAGTACTTGTCTATATAAATAATAATCAATATCAATTATGATTCAGTTGACAATTTTTGGGTAGACTACTCACGAGCTTTCCTGACCCTAACATATATAATGGATGGCACCCGTGCAAAGCCGCTACTAATTTATAAAAAACAATACCAACATTATTTTATTTAGCAGAAACCAGCATTATTTAAACAGCGTCTGGTGCGACTTTGCCAAACATTTTAGTCATATAAAAGGGATATCTACCAAAATATGTATGTACGTCGGAAAGGTCACTAGATTGTTGAAAGTCGCTATTCTGCCATGTCTTGTTCGCAAGGCTTTGTCGGCAGAGGGTGCAGGGTGCGGGGTGCGGGGTGCGGAGCGCGAAGTGGCCACATGCTCCGGTGCATCGCGACCTCAGTGCAGTGACCGCGCCGCGCCGCCGCCTAGCGCAGCCTGCGATGTCACATGGACACGTTGCACCTATCACTATCTCCACACATATAGCATCGCACCTTTTATTTCCTGGTAGAGGTGAAGATATAAATGTAACATCACTTTTTCATTATTTATGTTATAAATACCATCTGCCGACTGGTGAGCATATTGCCATAAAATTGTCACGTTCCCGAACGTGCTCTACTGAGAATTTCCTAAATATAATAAACTTAATTAAGTTTCCTCGATCCTGATATCGAACCAGTAATCTCTTTGACAGTCGCGCTTACGACTACTCTAGCAACAAGTCTCTACATTCTCATACACATTACTTTAATCATTTTGGATCTTAACACACAATATAACTAAGACTTAAAAGACTGTATCGTCAGCTTATTAAATTTCAGATTTTAGATTCCTAGCATATTTATGCAAGTTTTCTTACAAAGAAAAACATTTATATAAGTGTGGAAGAGCCATGGTTCACGCATGGGATGTTTAAAGCATAAATCGATTGTTTATGTTACCTACTTAATAATTTTAGTAAAATAGCGTTTTCAATAGACCTATCTCTTATTCATTGTCAATTAAAAATATTAGTAGAAGAAGTCGTTTGCCTTCATTTATTTAATTATATTAAATACTAGGTGTTCGCCGCGACTTCATCCGCGTATAATTATGACTTCTGGCAAATTTTGGATTTTTTTCTGGCAAATTAGTTAATTGCAAAGCTATGTAACAAATCTCATCAGAATCACTTTGGTTATATTTATTGTAAAATGTGGTTTATTTTCGTGATTTAAAAAAATAAACAATCCCACGGGGATTTTACCCGTATAGTATCCACTCCCGTGAGGTTGAAAACTACCAGGCGTCATTTTCCTATTCTCTCAGCCTCAAACTATCGTTGAACCGAATTGCACTCAAATAGGTTCAGTGGTTTAAGCAATAGAGAGTCCCGGAATTTTAACACATAGTTCTTGTCCCGTGAGATTTCCTTTTCAGTGCCAGGGTCTCAAACTCTCGTTGAACCGAATTTCAATCAAATAGGTTCAGTGGTTAATAAAATTAGTATTCTACCTCTTTGTACCTAACTTACTGTTTTTTTTTTGTCTTCTTTGGCAACCGAGTCTCCAATATGATGTTGTCGACTATACTGCCAGTGTCGGGTGGTAAAACTTAATGTTATATCATGATAATAAAAAATAAATTGTCAATTATACATTGGCTTGAAACTCATTTGTCAAAAATATGTCAGATAACATAGAAAGGTATACCAAATATTATAAATTCAATTGCCATAGAAGAAAAAAAATATATAAATTGGTTTACATCTGTTTGTTTTGTTACAAATGGACGTGATTTTTTTTACCGAGTTGAAATAGTAGAAAGGATTGAAAGTAGCATAGGCGACATTTTGTTTCTTTCTAACCCACCACTTCCCAAAAACAGGGGCTGGCAGTTTGTATAGAATATTTGGTAATTTTCAAGAAACCTAAAGTTAGTATCATATTTGTGACCAGGAAAACATCGGCCACCAATTCTTTTTAATCTTTTGTAAACCTGCCCGCAATATTTTAAAAGAGCGCGGGTGAAACCGTTGGCAGAAGCTAGTCCATGAATAAAATGTAGATTTTCAGGTATTCAGTTGATTGAATTCGTATTTTTCCTTTAAACTCTCTGATTCTGATGCAGCCAAATTTTATTAGTCCTTAAAAGCAGTTTTCTATTGGCAGTCAAAGGCTTAATAAGCAATATAAGGAGATTTTTGGTTATATTTTCACACATCGGGTTACATTATCAAAATTTTCACACCGTTCCCTTTTCTCTCTCTTATTATATAACCTATTTTCATCATCAATAATGTAGGATTCCAACGGTAAAATAATTTTTCAATACAGTCCGGTAGTTTCGGAGAAGATTCCATTCAAACAAACAAACAAACAAAAAATCAAGTCTTTCCTCATTATACTATTAGTGTACACTAATTGTTACGCACAGTTTTAACTGCACTATCAAAAGAAGAATGTAGCCTATAAGCTAGACAGACATCACTCTCTTAATTATCTCTGGCCAAAAAAAGACATAAAATCAGACTGAATGAAGGACAACCAAACACACCCTCTTCGTATTTAAGATCTTAATCAAGGATTTGTCTTTTGTTCATACTTATTACGCTTGTTTTACAGTCTGCTATCGTCTCCATATCTACGTCTCCAGTGAAAAACAGCCATTGTGGAACGATGAACTAACAATACACTACGACATCACACACCCTTTATAAGCTACTGATTAAAGCCTACCTATAACGACGGGTGCTATAATTACCAGTCCATTCGGCAACATATCCTAATTATTAGGGCTTATAACGTTAAATAAGGTCATGTTTACAAAAAGGGTCGTCGGTCAAGTAAGTAAGGGACCTCGATCCTATCACAGGTTTGGGAAAAGGTTTTCATGAAACAAGGTTATAAAATTATCTATGGTAAATGTTCATGGTAAAGATTCACTTGAAAATACATTCACTTCAAAATACTTACTTTCACTTACTTCAAAATAAGTAAACAGAACTTTAATACTTACTTAAAATACTTCAGTTCTTTCTACTCATAATTACTCTTCTATTCGATTTCTCTATTTTCTTTTTGTGTTTATATGGATCCTAAGTATACGTTCTCATTGGGCGAGACCTGTCAGCAGTAGTTAAGGCTATGCTGGCAGATATAAAAATTGGAGGGAAGTGTCTTCCTTTTGTGAGACAGTAATGTTCTAAATGAAGCTGGTGAGCGAGATCGTAAGAGAGCCGACCCTGTCCGTAGAAGGCGTCAAAGAGGTGATAGAAGGCATATTAGGCGTCACCTTGACGCCTAATATGCCGAAATCCTGCCTGCAGCAACTTCAAACAGATCTTTGGGGCCACGGGTGCATAGGGTAGCGACGCTAGGTGCCCACCCTGTGGTTTCAGGGAAGATGGTAGCACAGTGGTTACGTGCCGCCGTACGCAGCAAAGCTTAAAGGAGACACCCGTCTCCCTAGAGATGTGTCGTAACAGGCGTTACACCGTGGGGGCTCTAGAGCAGGTCTCTTTTAGAGGACCCGATGCCTCCAGGTGTTGAGGGTGGCCACCGGGGTGGTTTTAGTGAGGTAAAAATCCGACACTCCCTAGTCTTTTATCCCCAAAAAACTAGGCGCTTTTTGAAAAATACACGCTCACGAAAACGCTGAGAAACAAAATGGTTTTTAAAATTTCAATCGTTTTTGTTAACGTATTATTCATGCAACATCAGCTTGGAGCGGTTCATTAAACTACATGTTAATCGATAAAGAGACATTGAAATCCTTACTGTTATATGAATGCATAACTGTATTTTATTTTATATTGTGTTGTAAGTAAATGTCTTATTTTATATTGTATAATATGCTTATTGGGATTAAAACCTGTCATAGTTTGGGAGGTTATTCTTGTTCTTATTGTTGTATCGTATTGCTATTACATATATTACATTTCAACATAGGTACAACACCTAGTATGTACAAAACTATGAATTAAATTGTTAAAGATGTGTGATAAAGTCTGTTAAAAATAACTAGTAGATATACAAACTCTTAAGGTAACATATCTATTAGAGAGAACCCAATAGTACTTATAGATAACAGGGTGACCTAATAAAACCGTGTTATAGTATGCTGGTTTGGTATCTATGTAATATGATCTAAAAATTTGAATAAGACACACTTCTAATTGTTGTATTATCACGAAACTTGTGATTACATTTTGATTAGATGGCCATACAAAATTATTGTGCAATGGACCTAGTCTTATGATGGAATAGGAAGGTGACTGATGGAACCATTGACTGCCTACAAGCAAACATATCGAATTTTGGCTCATTAGATGGGTTCAATTTCCCTGACAACGAGGAAATATGATTAACTCGTCGAGTACCGGTTTTGTAGACACAATTATAAAACAATAGGTTGCGGTCACCGGTGACCGCTTGGTGTTTGACAGTTTAATTGCGTCATTTTAGTTTTTTGAACTATAAATTTATGTTGTAACTCATGTTAACTGCTTTTTTAAAGCAATGATAATTTATGGACATTTTCATTCACATTCATTTATGTAAACCAGCGTTTTAATTGTAACATCATTAATTGACTTCAATATTTTCATCATTATATTTATTGACGTCATCAAATCATAACTTGAATTCAACAATGAAAATAATTTATTATTATTTCATATTTTATGAATGTCACGAGAAATTTATTGAGAGGCGTCACGTTGTTTCTAGTTTTGAAGTGCTGCTTATTATTTACACGGGTTTACTAAACAACATTTCAAACATTACACTGCTATGGCACAGAATATTTATACAGGTGGAGCTTCCCGACGTATGAGAGTTCAACGTAATGTCAAACACCTATCTATATCAGAAATAATTTTACATCTAAATATAAACCGTGCATAAGAATTCACAACACAGAGAGCGCGAGACAGTGAGATAGTGCGAGTCTCTGTTTCCTTGCCAATAGCTGCGACATTGTATCTATTGACACGGGCCAGCAGCACGTTCGCCGCCGACTATTTTGAGTAGACGGGTGGCGCACGTGTCGAGCGGCGGCGGCGAAGCAGCGACGTGCGGGTCCGCGCCCTCAACACCTCTTCGCAAAAAAACCCTCTCAATGAAAAAGGCAAATCCCTTCAGAATGTTATTGAGCAGTGCACCGGTGGCGCAGATGCAGGTGGCCGCGGCGTGGTACATATCGCATCACCGCCCGCCCGCAATTTCGCGTAAAATTGGCAGCGTGCGGCGGGCGGGCGGCGGCAGCGGCGCGGAGCGTCGCTCCCGAAATAGTGTTCGGGCGCGGTCGTACGCTCTCGGGAACGGCGCCCCAGTCGCCGTGTGGCCGCGCGCGCGCACCCGCGTCGCCTCGCCAGCCGTCCCGACGCCGCACGAATACCCGGGTGAGGGAACGAGCTCGCCGGTGCACGAGTCAACGGTGCGCGTATTTCGGTCGCGAGAGGGCCCCGGGCCGCGTCGGGCGCGCTGCCCGCGCGCTGGCCGCCGTGCTCTGGTGGTGGTGCGTGGCGCTGCTGCGGCTGGTCGCGCTCTGCGCGCCTCCCCCCGGCCCGTCGCCGCCGCCCTCCGCCCGCGCCGCGGAAGATGCGCCGTCGGCGGCCGCTTGCGCGAGCGCGCCTTCCAACACCACCGAGCCGTCGCCGCCGCCCGAGCCGCCCGACCCGCCCGCGCACACCGGTCAGTACACCTGCGCCCGCACTCCGCAGTCCGCTCTCCCACTCGCTCCATCTCTTGCTACACCACGCCACCCGCCGCGTCACCGCTGCGCCGCCGCTGTCACGCCAACCCAATATCGCTCTCATGGTAGCTCCGACTACTGCTCATCATAATATTATTAATTTCATAGTACACAATATCACGTCAACCACGTGGTCTCCAATGAAACTCACCGTAACCACAACAATGAGAAAACCTGTTTGTTTGTTTTAATTTTATAATTCGTGGTACCTAGTCGTTGTTTGAGTTACATGTTGAACTCAGCAATTTTAATTAGTAATGTAATCCACAAGGCAGAGATAAAGAATAAAGGTATATTTGAACTTTGTTCTAATATACCTTTATTCTTTATCTCTAAAAACAATAGAAACATAGGGGGAACGTACACAACATAACAAGGAAACATTAAACTGAAGTCACTAGTAGGTGTGTTGAACTGATAACTGTGATAACATTATTATCAGTTGGTAGAAGACAAACAATACTGTGGATGTGGCTAACATAAATATTTACCAAAAGATATTTTTAATTAGGTAAGTGCTTGTAGCGACAATGTAATTTAAGACTATTTTTAAATTAAGGATACTAAGATAATGTGCTATTCAACTAGTATCACTTCCTACTTCAAAATTATTGTATTGAACAAACAACAAAGTAGGTATGCAATTCACACTTCATATTTTAATACAAATTAGTGTTTTGCAAATATAACATAGTTACACAGTCAAAACAACAACATAGATATGTATAATAATTTACTACTTACAATACTTTAACTTCACTATCGTCACATTAAATTATCATCAATATTCTGAAGTAATGACAATAGAAGAGAAGTAAAGGTAATGACGTTCTAATCGAGACGGTGTATATACCTAGAAAGAAATGCGGCAGAGGGCGCGGCGGCGGCGGCGGCGGGGCGCGCGGATATGGGTCATCAGGGCGAAGGTTCTGTCGCAGGCAGCCCTCGCCCTCAGTCACCCTGCCCATGCTGCCAGCCGACTGCCACCCCTACACAAACGCCTCGCCAAATTCGCCACACGCACTACGCAACGGGCCCCTCTCGACACGACGAACGTTTATTATTTCTGTAGGTACTGAATAACACGAGATATCAACAAAGACACAACAATTGAATCGCGTTTCTCGGAATCGTATCCATAAAATGAAGATATATCGAACAGACAGGTCAGAGAGGCAATTAAACGACGATAAGTGTATACAAGCTAACACACATGCAAATAATACAGATAGCCGTATTGAAGCGTGATTCAATTTGCTAATTAGGCCGCTCACTAATAAGACCATGTCTAAAGTCTTGTAACAACGACAATTTCATTAATTTAATTGATTGATAGGTAACGTATTTAAGAACAATAAACAATGGTAAAAGTTTGAGTGAATAATGTTTATTTAGCATTATTCAATTTTAATGATAACAAGTGACATCACGTTAAACATAGTTTCACGCGACACGAGCGGTGCGTGACACGTCGATCTTGTAATACTTTAAGTTATTGCCATATTTAGTTTATGTTTAATTTGTTGGACACCTTATCTGACAATAACGACTATTTAACAACGTAGACATATGCTTACGTACATAATGTACTGTTAAGATATGACAATGCGTCAAATCCAATCATTAAGCCGGAATGTCAATGTACATATGCAGTTGTTGTATAGTTATGTGTACGTCAATAGCTTCAACAATGTCAACAAAGCAATACACTGAAGTTGACGCATAGACACCACGTCGGAGATCAAATATTATCCAATAAATTATCATTCGTAATTAGCGAAACAACAGCAGCACTAATTAAAACGTTTTCCTCGTAAACCACGGAAGTTTATGCTTGATTGAATAAACTCTACTTTCTATTATGATCTACCTACGTTTGGATTCCAAACACTTTTCCTTTCTATTTAGGTTATACTGTCTATAAATAATTTTACGTAGGCACTAACATTAACAAAATACTGAACAAAAAGTTTACATTTTCTACTCCCACAATACTTGTCAATGGAATACTGTTCCATAGTGAATAGTCAAGGTAACTAAGATGAACGATATAGTTACAAATATATGACGCGTTCATGGTATGGCAAAATCTTATGCTAATTCTTTTTATCTATGCTCTCTCTTAAAGATAGACTTTACAACATAACGAAGAAAATGAGTGTTAGATTGCATAAAATGAGCAACACTGACCTGAACTACCTTTTGAGAGATTGAAAGGTTTATTATATAGTACGTAGTATATAAAAAAGAAATAATGGATGATTATAATCCAAACCTCTGTGATATATCAAACAGGAAACGTATACGAACCCAGATTACTACATCTAATAATTCATCTCTTCATCCGACATTAGCTACATGTCATAACTCGTAACGCGATTGAGATAATCTCTTTGTACCACAAATACAATAATAATATACCAAAGACATTTGCATCGGGTATGTTCTTATGTGAATGGTTATCTTGTGATGTTATCATTTCACTTGTATAACAAATGTCAGACTTCAGCTGCGGTTTGGCAAATACACACCTATGCAAAGTATGTACAATACGTGGCGATGGTATATTTACAATGTCTGCGTCTCGCACCTGATACTGTACGAATTCAATATAATATGTGCATTTATCTGGATTTTTCTTTTTAAATAGCCTTGATAATATTTTAATGACATGTATAACTAATTTTCCATTGCGTTGTGTGAAATACGTTAAGCTGCCCCACATATCTCATAGTAATAGTTTACTTCACCAACTTGTGTCATAGCCATTGAATTTCCACAAGAGTCCCGAGTTGATTATGCAAAAATACATAATTCAACAGGCAACCGATTGATTTAAATCACTTCATCAACTATAAGTTACAATTTCTGAGATGTTTTCGTCTAGAAATATATTTATTGAAGACGAAGAGCTCTACCACGCCTAATACTTTTAAAATATGCAAAAGCATGAATAGAGTATTAGTTAAGTAAAGGTATGAACTTTTAGTCGCTATGAAAAGCTGCTAACAAGTTACCAAATATTTTTATAACGTTGTCTACTCAGTACGCATTTTCATCTCTCTTTAAACAATATTTTCTTTTAGCGTAACTTCAATAACATTGGCTGGCAACAATAATTTAAAAGGTTTTAAAAAGAAAAAGGAGTCAAAGATTTTGCTATAAGTAACTAAGTATCAGAATTGAGTATGAAGACTTGAGAGTAAAAACCTCATTGCAATAGTTAATCCACCCATCCAATGCTACAGCACAAGAGAAAATCATACAAATACACATGTAGACAGTCTTCTTTTATCTCAATCGGAACTAAACAATAAACAACTTTACCAGTATGTAGACAAGATTGTTTACAGCCACTAGGACATAACTTTACACTGTAAAATACCATAACATGAAACAAAACAGTGCTTGAAACTGCTTGGTTCTTTTATCTCGAGAGTACTTAAGTATGTTGCTCAGACTACACTTCAACGCATCACATGTTCTACAAAGTTTCAAACGATCCCAAATTTAGCTGGTATCTACTTGCTGCCTTTGAAGTATGTTCTTCGAATATATTCACTTACGTTATGCGTATGCGCCTGATTGATGTGTCGACTACCCACTTACGACTAACAAAGCGAAACGTGTAACGTAAGCATTTGATACCCAGTTTTGACGCGAGTAAATAGACTGTTTCCTGCTCTTGAGTGCTAGAAAAATATACGCTATATGTATAAATGTGTGAACTTGAACTTTAAACTTGTACGTAAAATGTAGCATTATGTTGTTCTTGTGGTTTCAATTATTCTCATTATTCTAACTAATTCATTTAATTTAGTTTAGTTGTCAACCATTGCTATTAGATTTAAATTGCATGAAAAATTATGTCTAATGTCATACAAATAATATAATTTTTTGAATTTTCATGAATACGACCTTTCGTAGCTCCGAAAAAAACCCAAAAAAATCTACTGTGTCCTACTGAACTCCTTCGCATGCGGAGAAAGAATGTGCGTTTCATCCCCAATCCACATTAAACAATCGTAGTGCGTATTTTGGATTGCGATTTCAGATTTATATCTCAGATTTCTCCATTAAGGTTTTCTCAACTCATATCAATGAGTATCTAAATGAACATGAAAGCACAACTCACTTGTATAAAGTCACGTTAGTACCAACACTGCTAGATTTCTAAATTGCGCACGAACGTTGCTCGTATACCTTAACGTACGTATGATACGATCCACATTAATTTTTAATCGAAATATCTTAATGATTTGTCAACATGAGAAAAATATCCTTTTTTCTATTTTTCATTAAATATCCTAATGAACTATTCTGTGATCAATCTATACGCAGTAAAAAGAATAGGTGTCCATTTTTCAGAACCTAATAATTATAACCAATAAATTATTGCAGCTTTCAATATGAGATAAAGTTTTACTCCTGCACGCTTCTGACGCCTTTCTGAAATTACAATATTTCCGTACATATTACACGCTAATATTATAACTAATCTCCTTTCACAACCCATAAATGCCAGCATTCTGGACGTAACCTCAATTTTTCTCGAGCAAGTCAGTATTTATGAGATTACGAAGTATTTATTTATATAATAGGCACATAACTTGTGGTCAATTTACGCAGGTTTCGAATCTCTTATTAGTATTATCGAGCAAGAATAAAACCTGTTTCGCGACAACACTTTCTTCGGTTTTTGTGCTCTATCATTTTTTCACGTCCTTTTTATGGAATATTCATATTTGCGACACTCCTATAGAATGACATGTTACTAGGTCTGTGTTGCTATTCAACTGAACTGGTGTGAAATAAACACACAGGTAGATTAGACCTCCTGGATGTCTCTTTCTTAGAATTATTAACAGAATGGGTTTTCCTAACTACAAATTTGTCGCATCTGCGCACAGCGTTCGTTTGTTATAAGATACCTACACAA